TGTTTGTTTCTGCCAATTTGAGACCACATGAATTCGAAGCGATGGGACGAAAACATTGGATTCGAGTACTGGATTTACACGGTTTATGAATATGAACCACTGTGACGAGCCTCTAACAAAATCAGGGATAGTATACGTGCAGAAGGGTAAAGGCGTCCGCTAGAGCAACAGTATCATACTCTAGAAGGGATTTCCGTATACCGTCAGGACCTGTTTTAGTGATCGATTGAGTTGTGCTAAGGAGCTGGAAAACTTCTCCCGAAAATGGGATTATATTAGCTGCATCATCTGAAATCCATGAGACGGGATCATCGCTCGGATGTTTACTCTCAAGGTCCACAGCACAGCTAATTGATATAGATTTCACTTCACGTAGAATCCGAACATAGATGTCATTTGTTGTGATTGTTCAGGAATGGGTAGTTATAGGAAAAATATATTCGATCAATTTCCTTTTTATCAATATGGAAATGTTGCGGGCTACAGATGAGTTCGGGATTTGTAGAAGCGTTCCCAGCATTTTCTCGAGGGTTTTAGTGTAGGAGAGGCAGCACGGCTATTGGTGAGAAACAGGATTTCCAATAGATAAAATATGCTAAAGACCGAATCGATTGTATCGACAGAAAGTTTATCTTTTGTTTTTCATGTGAAACTTCTGTGGCTTTGTCGTCCGACATCTTTTAATTAATCTTTGTACTATACCAGTCATTGCTTTCGCGCTAAAATCATTGTTAATAACGCCTAACTGCCAGCGATGTTGCGGGCGGTTCCCGATCTGCGGTCACTAAGATACACGCAGTCAAATGAGATCATAACAAAAATTCCGAATTCACAAACAGTACGGATCTATTCATCGGTAGATCGATTGAGGGGAACAGACGTATCGCACCATTATCATCGCGCAGCGAAATACAATCAAGCGCACTTCATTGATCGTTGCCAAACTCATGATGAATTCCAGAGAAGTGAGAATGTATGAGGAGGTTAGGGATTGGGCCTATTTTGGGGGAAGGGGAGAGAAAGCGAACCTCCACGGTCAACAAACAGAGTACAGTCTAACTGTGCACCTTTACTATTGCAAGCCTTCTGGTCTGATGATAAATGACAACAAGAGAGCCACTGCTGCCGGTAGGGAGCCTTTGAGACTTAAGTCCGGAAGACCAGAGACACCTACTATACCTAATAGATCTGTGCATTTCTTCATGACTCCTCTCCACTCGTTCTGTTGACCTCCACGTGGTTTTCTCCTGTCAGGAGGGACCGACCACTGCAAATAAGGCGAAGTACGGTAGGCGACCGTCGCGGTTCAAACTA